ACTTAGAACTATATAACTCACCCACCCATAAACATTTAAATACATAAATTATGAATTTTTTGTTATGCATAGTTTTGATTGATGATATCCAGGTGGCCGAAATTGTATGTTATTATCTCAGACAACTTCAATCAACTTAACCCATTATGTATTAAGTTTACTCTAGAATAAATTAATGCTCTTTAGGACCAAGTATCTCTTTTTTTAACAGTAAAGTATTATGACCTCAGCGTTTTGCCCTTTTCTTTAACACTTCAAAGGAAGGCGCTTTGAAAATTGTTGATCGTGTAAAAAGTATGTTCAAGTTGGCACAGGGCGAATATGTAGCTCCAGAAAAAATAGAAGTGATTTATCAGAACTGTGAACTTATAGACCAAATATTTGTTGATGGGAAACCGGAACAAAATTTCCCTGTCGCTGTTGTCACTCCGAATTTCGTAAACTTACGTTCATGTATTAATTCTTACCTAAAATCTGGTTGTAATGTAGATGATGGGAAAATATTCGATCTGAAACCATCAGATATTTCTCGATTATCTGACACCGATATTTGCAAAAACATAGAAATTCGACGATTTGTTTTGCGAAAAATGAATGAAGTCGCAACACAAAAGGGATTAAAGATATTTGAAATGGTAAGTGTTGCAGTTATCTGGTAATTTCCACCTTATCACTGAAAAGACTTGCCTACATTTTATTTAGCTTCTAATTCTCGTGTTTACATACCTCAACTTTTCAATGTAGATTATGTTTTGTTAATCGTAGCTTAGACCGTTATGTAAGATAAGTGGTTTTTTATTTTGATTGGAACAAAAGCCACTACCCTGATAATGCGATCCAGTATACTGCGTTTCGATGCACAAACTAAATTTTTGGGAAAATTTCAACATTACGACTTAACATTTCTAAATAAAAGTTTGCTAATATAATCAGTTGAAAGAGCTTTATACGAACGACAAATTATATGTTCTGATGAGAAGAGGATATTCAACTGATAGGTATTGTTTTAATCGTAAAATGTGTATGTCCTGAAATAGATTCTATATTTTGATGGAGTTTTGTTCTCTGAGCTGGATGGTTCTATATCGAGTTGAGGAATTCAAGGTTTTGTATGTTTATGGTAGGCTCCAACTAGTCATATAGGTACTTCGTTACGCCTGTTACTCCCGATAGAGCATAGGCCGCCGACCAGCATTCTCTAACCCACTCTGTCCTATGCCTTCTTTTCTAGTTCTATTCAACTTTTGTTCATTCTTTTCATATGTCTCCATTTCTCAGCGTAATGTATACTGTAGTCTTCCTCTCCTCCTTTGGACTCGAGGATTCTAAGTGAGGGCTTATCTCGTGACGCAGTTGGGCATATAGATACTGAATTATCATGTCAAACCGAAGCTTCATAAAACTTGTCAATAAATCATGTTTTAAATCTCAAGTCAAATTCAGTTTTACGAATGAGATTGCGGATCTTCAAATTGTGTAATTTCTGGGAAGATATTCTTTGAGGCAACCATACGTTTGATTATAGAACTAACAAGAATCATGGTTTTTGTGTTGTTCAAAACAATTCATAAAATAGATCAATGACGAAACACTTTTGTCGATCATTTTAGACTGTTGACCATAATTAGTTGCGTTGCGGTAAGACATCTAATATCTACTAACTAAACTGTTACATTTGATTAATCTGTAGTTCACTCATATTTCGTCCCTAGCATGGATATCAAATTTGTGTAATGTTTTCCAGATGACAAAGTAAAATCACTTTATATGGGCACCAGATTGTAACAATTTTTAACTTCATTGAATAATGGATATAAAAAACAAAATCCAAACATATTAGGTTTTGAAATTTATCTTGCAAAGGACTATAACTAGTCGAATAGTTTGTCCCTATTTCCCATAGATAATGACAACACTATTCATTGTTTTGAATATAGCTTAGACAAAACAAAAAACTTGACTCTTATAAATCATATGAAATTCTAAATTAATTTCAATGGTTGAGGCTAGACCACCATGGAAAATCTGGAAGCACTGGACGGCAGTTTCGTCCCATTGTGGGACTCATCAGCAGTGCGCATCCCCGATCGAGTGGATAAATGTACGCGCGCGAAACTGGTAGGTCCTGAGTTCGAAACCCGCAAGGCGGGATCGTAGATGCGCACTGCTGAGGAGTGCCACAATAGAACGAAACGGCCGTCCAGCGCTTCTAGGTTTTCCATGGTGATCTAGCTTCAATTGACTCATGATCTCAACCATTAAAATTACTATAATATCCACAAAAACCCTTCTCTGACAATAAATCATTGTTGATAGAATGTGGAAAACTTCTCCACCATCTTATACAATAAATCTACAGGCGAATATAAATGGGGGAAAAGTTAGTGAGAATTGATCGTGGTTATCTACAAAAAAGCCCTTCTAAATTAACTGTGAATGTAGTTGGAAAACAATTTTATGATCTGAAAGACGACGCATGCTTTATCTACCTATAAATTAATATTTTTATATCAGGTAAATATAGTACATTCGTGGATGTTCTGACATTCGGGTTAAGGTGAAATTTTCATAAATGAGGTGTTTTCTACATGTTGACAAATTCAGTTATGTTGGAGTAAAGATGACGCTTTTTTGCTGTAATTAATAAAAGACATTTTTAACTCATATATCCGATCCAAGTTGATGGTTCAAAATTTTTTCAGGTACAATCTATCTACCTAAATGATAATCCATTTACTGTTGAAAATGGATTGTTAACTCCAACCATGAAAATATCACGTCAAAATGCCCGTCGACACTTTCAATCTATCGTTGAATCACTATACTGGGAAAGAGATGTTCTGAAGGTCAATGCATAAGTAATATTTGTGATTAATAGCTCAATTTATCCCACTGGCATTGTTTACTATCTTAAGTCAAAAACTCACACCACATACGGCAATCATCCTGTTGTTCGTATATAAACAAACACAAGGGGAGCACCCCATCGTTATTTCTTTTTTCTACTACAATTATATTGTTTATTGACTTTTTTTAATTCGTGCAAAACCATCCATATTATATATGTATTTCTATTTTATTCAGTGTATCCTGAGTGACAATTTACCGTAAGACTCACTCCTACATATTTATTTAAAATAACTTATATTTTCTTCAATTGAAACAGTAGATTACAAAATCCAACCACGCAAGATAGATAGTGGGAATATAACGAATATTGTAAAGCGACTTAAAAGGAAAATTCATTAAAAAAATATTTTAGTTACGGATATGTTGCCGTATTTACCGATAATAATTCATGATGAATAGCCAAAAAGTTTATTCAAGTCATACACATTGTTTTACACCTCAAATTGTGTCCATAGTTCATTGCTTCATTTCATTATCGTTATTGCATTCAAGGTGCGCTTAGCTGCACCTCAACTGTTGAACGTTCGTAGCAAACGAGTTAGCAAGTTATCACTGTTCCAGTTGATTTAACCGGCAAACCTCTTTAACTCGTATCCGAAAAACCGACCCTTACATCAGGAAAAACTGCTACGTCGGCAAAGATTAGACTTTACATTTAGACATTTTGCAACTTAGTTTGGAATTCATTAGTCGAGGTTTCTGCTAATGATATACTACTGTTTATCTCGCGTAGTGATCATCTACTTTAGGATCTTACCAAGTGAAACTTTGCAGATGAGCTTATCGTGTCAGTGCTTGAATGTATATCATAGCATCGTGTTAACTCTGTAAAACATGAACCTCCTGTTTAGTTTTGTATGTAATACTTGGACTAACCACGATTGTGGAACGTTGGTTATAAAAGCCAGATAGGAAGTATGTTGGCAGGATTTTTTCAGCATGGAGGAAAGCACCCTTGCCTACTTAATTTTAGCAAGCACGGTTCAGCATCTATAGTCAGATAGGAAAATAAGCTTAAGGCAGATAATAAGTAGAGTGATGAACAAATATATGCACGTTTGAGAACTGATCAAGGTTAAAACTGAGTACTCGACAGCCAAACATGTGTATACAATGGCTTATGACGATCAGATTAATTTGTCTTTCCAAAAGTTAGAATAAGTTCATGTATTTTTTACAAAACAGCATTACTAGTATATGTTCGTATTAACATGAAGTGGGTCAGATGTCTAAATCAAGAGCTGGCAGTCGTATCACTTCTAGTCAATCATGACCCACCTTTTACGAACCTGATTTGTTAATTACTCAAATTACTACGACTATTGGGACTTTCTTCGAATCTCCTAAAACTAGCATCGATACCTATTTTCCAGTATTTCTAACAAACTGATTTTACAGTGTAAAGATCGGATTTTTTTACAAGACCACTGTAACTCAAGGAGTAGATGCAACATAACCGAAAACACTAAATTTTTCCATTATCATGCTTATACTACCGGCCTCCATCATTCCCGTTTAACAAAAATTGAGTTCTCTTTACTCTAGTGCATTTTTCAGGGCTGTGATATATGACCAATTTACACTTATGGTAGCGTCAGTCGGAAGTAGGAATGTACGTTTAATAAAACTGCACGACAATAAGTATCGGACAGAGTTACTATAACTGATTTACTAGAAATTTATTAATTCGAGGACCGATGTATATGTACATCAAACTCGAACTAGTAAATCTCTGCATCTACATGTTTTGTATGGAGATATCACTTTATTTAACCTTAAACTGTATAATTTCATATTGCATCTGCATGGTCGAGCTAGATACATTGCGAATTAGTTAATTACCTCTGACAGATAAGCTACGGATTTTTTTAACAAGCGATTAAAAAGTCAGCCGTTGATACTTTCTTATGTACGACTTAGTAACAAGTAATTAAGTTACAGCTAAATGTTATAAATTTTCGAGACAGAGCAAGTGGATTCGCCATTTTAAAAAATTCAAAAAACAAATGAATAGAAGTCATGCGGTAATATGTAGTCGATTATAATGTTCGACTATTTATTTTCTTATGAAATACAGTAAATGTACAAATTTATAGTGCATAATTCAGCATTACGTCTTGTTTGGCTAGTTCTAGCAACATAGGATCATCAAAGAATTTATTGATACTTACATCTTCATTCAAACCCTAAAAGGTAATAGATATTTTTAGCATAATAAAGGTATAAATTGAGGTGAGATGTTAACGATTGTATAGATTGTTTTTGGTGTGCATCAGTGAAGATTAATAGTAAATGACAAAATGTCCCCGAAAAAGGTAAAAAATTATTGCTCTAATAACCCGACCGTCGTTGCTACACTGACGTGGTGGTCGGGTTTGCCTATTGTGATGAACCAATCGAGCTATACTAACTGGAACAATTGTTCCGCAAAATCCTACCATGCCAGAAAAGCCAGTTGAAAAGCACTAAGACTAAAAGCAGCAAACCCAAGATCCGAGGGCGAAGTCTTACAGCTGACTGTACAGAGGTGTGACGGCAGTAAGGTGTTCCTTTCAATAAACTAGCATAACAGCGATGCTTCCTTCCCACAAGGAGGGATGCGGTTAGAAAAGGTCGACCCTAAAAATGCACACCTCACCTTACCCCATGGAAATACATCTCTCTAACAGCAGTCAGGATCACTATATTCATAATCAGTTTTCCTCATCAATTCCTATTACTCCTCCCTATCCCGAATATCGACTCTAAACTCCCTCCTAATGTGTCACTATGTCTAACGATTGTAGTACACGAGAAACTACCAGACAACTGAAACTCGGTTCCACACTACATAATGGAGATTTCAAAGAACGTACCCTATGTCGAGTTGGTCATCAGGCCCTCTTGGCAAAGACACCAGAATCTCGTACGATTGGTGTATGATGTCAATCCGAAACATGCATACAGGATCAGAGAACGGTCAATCACTTGACCTCACCAAGCTAAAGCTGGGACCCGATGAGCTACGGCCTAGAATTGAGGTTCAGAAAGCTACAGCTAAACTAAAACAAGGAAGCGCAGACAGTCTAGATGGAATGAACCAAAACGTTTTTAAGAACCGTGGTCTAGTTTAAGCGATTAGGTTGACTAATACTTTAGGTAAAATCTGGGAGTTGGACATAATCCCATCTGACTGGTCGCAACACAGAAGAAGGAGTCAAAATCATCCTGTGATAATTATAGAGGGCTAGTTTAAGTAATATAGTGTCTGAGATACTAGCCTCAATGATTATCGGACGCCTAGCAAAGACTCGTGAACTGCAAACACGAGGAAATCAGGCCACCTTCAAACCTGATCGTGGCTGCATCGACCACATCTTCACCCTTCGTCGGGTTCTAGAACACATGCATGCTTATTGGCGTCCGACAACGATAGTTTTTCTCAACTTAAAAGCAGCATTTGACTCTGTAGACCGAGAGGTTCTGTGGCAGTGTCTGTCATTGAAAGGTGTACCTCAGAAGTACATAAACCTCGTAAAGGCTCTTTACTTGAACAGTACCAGTATAGTCGGAGCTTGCGGCGAACCGTCATCTGATTTTGCAACCCCAAGGTGTCCGGCAAGACTGTCCCCTATTTCCATTCTTGTTCAACTTCATAGGCCTACTGCTGGGAATAACGTTCTCTTCGTCTGAATTTTCGGGCATTGGTCTCCCTCCAGGAGGTCCACTTATCGACTTAGAATACGCAGATGACATAGTCCTGTTTGATGAAGACGCCGATAAAATGCAGTGTATTGGTAGCACTGAGCAACAGTGCTATCATGTCTGGGATGCGTTCCTCCCCCTCTAAGTGCAAGTTGTTGCGTCAGAACTGGTCCGCGTCAACACCTGAACTAAGGATAGGAAGTGAAGTAGTCGAACGCATCGACAACTTCGTTTATCTTGGAAGTCTAATCAGCCCCAATGGGTTGGTGTCTGAATAAATCTCAGCACAGATTCAAAAAGTTCATTTGGCTTTTTCCAACTTACGTCATCTATGGCTTAGGCGATATATCCGTCTATCAATTAAGGCACGAGTATACTGCTCAGCAGTTCGTTTTGTTTTACTTTATGGCTGTGAAACGTGGTCATTAAGAGTAGAAGACACTTGCAAGTTACTAGCATTTGATCACAAATGCCTTAGGAATATTGCCAGCATCTGCTGGGATCGCCGGGTAAGTAATAGTGGGGTTAGACGCAGAGTATTAGGGAATGATGGTAAATCGATTGATGAGGTTGTAAATCTTCACCGACTGAGATGGTTGGGCCACGTATTACGCATGCCCGATCACCGATTATTACAGCGCGCAATGCTGACTGGTGTTGGAGACAGATAGGTTAGGATCGATCAAACCAAAACATAGCATCAGTCCATAAAGTCATTAACTTCTGGTCTGAGCCATGTTGGTAGATGCGGACTACTTAGTTGGGGTCCGCGCAACTATCGTAACCAATGGTTGGAGACTGTGGGTGACATGGCTCAGAATCGATCACAATGGCGTAGGTGTATATACCTCTGTCTGCCCTTAAAAAGTGAGATTGAAATTACTTTATACCTCACTTTCTATAAACTAATTTCTCCTGCATCATATCCTTATACGGAATCTTTCTTTACTACTACTGAAGTAACTGGTTCTATGAATTTGGTGTTCATCTTGTTGTACTGATGAGATATGGCAACTTGAACCGACGCATATATGTGTCTGGTCCTACTTTGTAGCTGACTGATTGTTTCAATAAAGATTTGTAGTAGACAACAAAACAAGAGGCTGACAAATAAAATAAAAACTTACAATCACTAGCAGTATTTATAGTTTCAGCCTGTATTTACATGTTCTAACGATTGTTTGCTTGTTACACTTTGGTGTAATAATAAAAGTTAATATCTAGATAGTCTTATCAAAAATAATGGACGATACTACAAGAAATATTTGTTCCAGTGTTTGTATAGCACATTTCTTGAGAATATGATGAAAACTCAAGAAAACATGTTTGCTTGAGTCTTTTTAATTTATTTTTGTTTACTTTTCAAACACCCAAGACCACACTTTAATAATTTTACTAACCTTTCTTCTACGAGTTTTAACCATAAACTCCCGAGCCAAATGAGTAGCAGGCTGTGGGACCAAAGGTTGTATTTGAATTGAACGATCGAGAGGATCTCCTGGAACCATTTGCCAGTGATTAAAAACAAGCATACAAAATGCCTGTCCTTGAGAATGAGTTCGAAGATCTGTCTCGAATCCAAATGAATCAATGACGGGTACAAATGCACGGATAACATACAAAGGAGATCCAGATATAGGAGCATCATGTGTTACATGACCACTGAAAATTAAGTGAAAACAAGTTAACTTTGCAAATTTAATATTATTTTTCCGTTTATCGGGATTAGAAAAGCGACTTACACCTCTAACAAAATCTATGAAAAACAGTCTTCCTTCTATTATTTCTTAATCTGTTAATATGCCTACCAGTTTTACGATATGATCAATTTAAGGCAAGGAAATTTATGGATGCGATTTTTGTCAACCTTTTTTAATGTGGTGGTTGGGATTTAACGAAACATTCCGAAGGTACTACATAAACCACCATATATACATGTAAATACTTATTTTCAAAGATACTCTATTCGCTAACACATTCATTACTTTCATCATGATGTAGCTATCAGATACAAATCTTTCAGTACTTACCAGAGGTGTGCACACTTAACAACTATACTTTTGTTGCATGAGGTGTAGTAATTATTAATTGGTTGATCAAACTAAGGTAGAAGGGAGATTTGACGTATGACCTGGCTACTGAAATGTCAGTGCTCCTAATTCTAAGTCTCCACCCACATATGATCTGGATGTAATTCAACAAAACTACAGTTCAACGTTATTCTTAAGAAAGCTACAAAAAAATTTTACAATTATACAGACCAGATGAAGCCTAATTGTTGAGCACTTCATAACCGTTGATCGTAGTGTTTCATAATTACGTGAATACAATCGTTGGATATCTATCTGTACTATTCAATAAGTATTGAAGTGAATAACTCACCGACGACGAGCAAGAACTGTATATACCGCTGAAACACAATCCGCAGGCGCCTGTACCTCAACCAAGTAATAAGGTTCCATCAAGCGAGGTGTAGCCATGAGGAAAGCAGAGTAGGCAACTCGGCGAGCTGTAGGAATTATTTGTCCAGAACCCCGTTGGTGTGCTTCGCCAGAAATCAGAGCATCTAATATTTTAAATTTCACATTGCGAATTGGTTCGTCACACAGTGGTCCTTCACGTGTACCCCATTGGAAACCCTATACAATGTGGAATGAAAACATAATTAGTTCATGTATATTGATAAAATGTTATGTTAAAATACGAATATCCTGTATTCATAGAAATCGCTCATAAATATTTATCACAGATAAACAGTAAATAATTATCCGTTTTTAGTACTTAATATGAACAAAATAATACATAACTATAGAAGCAAAATAATATAGAGCTCTAACTCACCTGCACGATATAATCTTTGACAGTAAGTAGTAAATTCTTATCAACTTCAGACGGTAATGTATCATCCATTAGTATATTCGGACCAGTAGCGTCTGGCCCAAAAGCCCATATAGACCTGTTGGACAAGACGCAGTAATAATAATATATACACAAATGACTAAGTTCCCTATTTACAATTTGGATAACACGAGTTACTACGGTGTGTGTTACGTAACGTTAATTTGAGCAGATAAATACAAGAGTGGGATAAGGGATGTTTTCAGTTAATCAAAATAAGAGGTAGAACAACTTAATCGCTGTTGGTTTGGGGACCGCATGTTCACACTAGAAGAGATTATTTATAAGAGTTAAAGAAATATGGAAAGTAAATATCACGCTACAAATACAACCAGGACTCATGATGTGTTGCGTTAAAATGAATACTTAACTCGACAAAATTCTGAATTAAATTCATCATAATAACAAATAATACTTATATATGAAATATAAATTCGTAATGATAACTGCGGTAATAATATTTAATAAACATACTATACATAACGAAATTTAACAAGTCTAATTACCTGGAGGCAAGCAAATCCCAGTCATACTTTTTCTGGAAAAAGTCTCCGAGTCGCTTTTTTGGCCAAGTGATTTGCACAACCTTATTCTCTATGTCCTCAGCTAAACCCTTATCGAGTGGCTCAGCGATCATAGTTAACTTATTTCTGATTATAAAGTAAAGATTTGTACAGAACAGATTAGAAAGTTAGCACAGCAAAGTCTTATGCATCCCAGATAAATCAAAAACAAAATTAATTTAAATGCAGAATTTTAATACAATCGTTATTATTTGATTTCTTGAACAGTATTATTATATAGAATAGATGGGATATGGCCATTAGTGAATTGTTCATCAACAATCAGTAGCTAGATGGATAACGCGATGGCATTTGAGGCGAATGGTACTGGATTTAAGTCCCAGTGTAAAAATCAACCCTAGGATGCAGGTACACTTTACTGACGAGTCCCAAAGAGGATGAGACACATCTTGAATACCGTCGCTAGCCCTGTCCATACAGGATACTTATATCCTAACCAAGAATGATTAAATTGCAGTCAAAAATATCAACGGGATAATCCAAACAATCTCAAATTGAACCAAGTATTGGTCCTTATTGTATATACTCTCATATATGCATAAACCAATATTCATAATCTAAAACACTATACAACTGAATCTAAAATCTTTAGATTATGCTCTCATAGAACTAAATGGTTACACAAAATATTTACAGTTTGAGAACTTCCCTTTAAAGTGGATAGAATAATCTCAAAGTAGTTGAGCGCCGAGTTAAAGTAAAGCATCAACGAGCATGTATATTCCACCATTTTGATTATATTTCCTTGAAAAAGATTGGAGGAGATTGCCAAGGGAAACGTTGAATTCAATCAATGAGATTCATACAAAACATAATTCCCCCCTGTCATATATTTACAGTTTATTGCGTGTCAACAAATATAACCAGTGAAACTTTTATTACATATCAGAGAACTAAATAAATGTGATAACAGAAATATCAACTTGAAGTCTTCTTAAAATGCAAACAAAAATGAGTTCGGAAATTATCTAAAGATTAAGAAATAGAATTTTTCACGAACACTAACCATTGTGCAAACCCATCAGGGAAAAAACGGGTATCATTTAAAATGTAAGAAAATGCTGTTCAATAATATTACATTGACATGTGTTCTTGAGAGATTTTAATAAAAGCTTACACAACAAACTCACTTCTTATTTGGTGTTTCAGCAAAGCATTTCAAAGAGGAAGTTTCCACAACTGTCTCGCAAAACGCTACAACAGGATCAGCAACTTTCACATCTGATTAAAAAATATAAATACAATTACATCAACTACAACTGGCATAACATGTAAGGAACATTACGTAATTATTATAGCATATATATATACTATGCCCCCAAATGCCCTGGTACAGCCGAGAATGGGGAAAGTCAACTCTCCCTCTCGAAGTGCTCTCACATGGCTTCGCGTATACAACCACTGCCTGGGTAGTCCTACTCACTAACTTCTCACGGTAAAGATGTGGTTTACGAAATTGAGAGGACGAAAAGCGAATGTCAGGCTCTTTAAGCCGGTTGGTGGACACGGAGGGTTCACTTAGGAGAGTGGGAAAACCCTGATTCCAATCAATGGTGCACATGAACTCCAGTATCCTGAGGGAACAAACAGCGTACGAACCAATTATTGGTCACTGGTTAACATGGGACTGAGTTTTCTGACGTTGCTCCACTGCCTTAAGGATTAGACCTTTAGGTCGAAGGCTCCGGGTGTTGTCCCCTAAGAAAACCACCTGCTTCGGTCTGGGTACCCGGGCAGCATCACAACCCACACAAAAATCAAGTGACTTGAGTGGCGCATATGTATTCGGTGCCCTTTTGTACCAATATTTATGTGTTAAAATAAATAAATAATATTATGGTATATGTAAAATACTGGTAAAATTAAAAAACAACAGCTTGTTAGAATTCTCAAATAACAATAATTTATTTTCAGCTAAACTGTGGACAATGAACCGATTATCCACTATGATTCAGTCTAATTTTAGGTTCCGAAATAGCTAAGTGGATGGTGAAAACAAACAAACAAACCAGCTTATATGCGGCACACACTCTTTAGACCTTGGAAAAAAGGGAAGTTAGAATGACTGTGGTTGAGCAAGTACTTCAGAAACTTTATTAAGGCCAAGTAGATTGAACAATCTTTAGTTGTACGAACAGTTATGACTTTTGAACATTAACTAAGTAAAACGGAGAAAGGATCAGTATTATATAATTGACCATCCATTTCACGAAACTCAGCAACAACTCATGCCATAAAAATAGTGGTAGATTGTTACATGAGAAATTGAACAGAACAGTAGCTCGGCGATTTAAGTACAGAATGCTAATTGTTATCTTTTTATGGTTACAAAGAGCAGAAACTTGAAATTATGAATTTTGTGCACTTCCTCATTGATAGGTTTATGTTTCGAGCTTATTATTAGGAAAAGTCAGTAAAAATTCTATTATGATCATTTTATTTGTACGCAAAACGACTTTAGTGATAAACTGAAGAAAACATCGAGGAAATCTGCACAGGATGCACATATGCCAATAAGAGATTGATTAGTTGCAGTCCTAAACACGGAGGCAAAGATTCAAGCAACCAATACAAAAATGAATTAAACTTCAGTGATAGTTAAAAATTTCCTGAAAACTTACCGATATCAGAGTAGAGCTTGCGCAAATCATGCATAACACAATCTAAATACAATTCACCAGTACCACGAATGACACGTTCACCTGATTCTTCAACCTTGGTGGCGAGGAGAGGATAACTTTTATTAACCTGAAATGGGGGAATTATTATAAAGTGGTCAAAATCATATTCATATGTAACATTAAGTCAATAAATCTATCAAGCAACATAATTTATAGTCTAAGTAGATAATAAGGGTTTACATGTGACATGGAACTGCGAAGAAATGTTTAAGATGTTTCAGTTTACAGGGAAATCACTAGAGAACCATCTAGCTACTTCATTCAATGGTGTTTAATTTGGCAAATCATAACACCTACGTTTACTCTCACAAAGTCCCTTTTAACTATGTGATAGACCAAGATATATGCGATGACGATCAATAAGACAAAACTTATTAAAAAACAACTTTAATTAGAAAAGATTTCAAAAAATATCAAAAGAATTATCGGAATCCAGGAGGTTACTTACTTTTCTGAGACCATCCAACAATTTAGGTAACTCAGAAGGATTGGCAGGTTCCACGGCAATCTTAACAACTGAAGAAGTATTGAAATTTAAGGGTCTGAATATATATGCTCCACGGGCATCCGCTGATGTTAATGTAGCTGTTTTCACAATAGGATGATCGATACCCTCAATCAACACCCAATTACCCGCTGGTACCCGATTCACCTCCAGCTGGTAACTTGAAAATGGAAGGATTGAGTTAAAAAAGAGAACACGAAGAGTTACTTAAAATTATTCCAAAAAATGGAGACACAAAGATTGCTACATTACGTGGCTTTTATGAAAATTAACGTGCTTGAAGAAGTCTCAAACTTTTCCAGACATCAAAATTGAAAGATAGTGAATATATAAACCAAGAAAGCATTATCTCAAACAGAATATTATCAGTCTGTTGAGTATGATCTAACTTGAAAATGGATTTCATCAAGTAATTAATTTACTATTTTTAAACACTTGAATCAAAAACAACCTTGAACATTTAATAGCGGTGCCTAGGATCTCCGATAATACAAAGTACGTATCCAATTTTTAATAAACGGGTTTACTATATGGAACATGGAATAAGGTAAATTAAAACAATTTTTCGATATTGTTCAATTTTTTAATGGCCATTTACAGTTGATATAAACAAAAACAGTCTAATTCCTATAGAGCTTCTTTACGATCACGTTGTTTAATTTAGCGTAACAGAAATTAAAATGAAAATTTACACCACTTATTTCAGTTTGTGGTCTGCACGAATCGTTTAGTGGAAATCACTAGTTTGAAAGTGATTTTTCTAAATACATATCATAGGCATTAAGAAGAGTAAATTAACACGACTGTATCTAAAGGAGTGGAATATTTATTGGTCTAAAAGATTTTATTTAACCGCTGTAAATAAAAATTTAGTTACAGCATACAACTGTATCTTGGTTTTTTTAATGTTGACATGGTACTTTAAATATATGAAATACAAAGAGATTGAATAGATGAACACTTATTGTCTGAAAAATCTAGACAATAATTAGACAACCGACAAATCACTGGTCAATAATGATACCTTGCATCACATAAAATTCGTAGTTATTTATGACAGGAAGTGATTGGTTTATTAAGACGGTAGGGAATGGCATGATTGGTGCTTTTCAACACTGTAATACACCGGTCAGTAAGATATGAAATACTCAGGTAAATTAGTTTACCAAGTGATCAAATATAAATCTTGCTCTGACATTGCCCTTATCATAGATACACACCTGATAAATATGATATTGACATAAGCATGTTGACTTGAATCAAATTTAATTGTGCCGTGAAAATCTTAGATCATTTTAATTGTTTACTTATTCATATCTGAACAAGCTAGTAATATTTTAGACCATTAAGTTACAGGATGACCAAGGAGCCTACTATACTAGTAGACATTTATTTCACTAATAGTCTTAAATGTATTTCATTCGAAAGTAGCATAGCCTAGATAGATCTCGTTAAAACAATCTTAGACAAAAAACTAACGGCCAAATAGGAAACCAGTAAACATATTTTATGTGGAGAATAAATATATTTGAATTATATAAGCTGTAATATATATCACCCTAAAATTTATAAAATTCCATGAATTTTTCTTCTCCCAGAAGTTTATCGGAGAATTTGATATTTGTCAAATTTTAGATCAAGTTACATTTTATCTATTTTCTAAACGTAGCATACAACAGTGTTTATGGATATTTATATAGTAAATACTGAAACAGGGGGTCATGCGGTGAAATTAGATAGCTTGACCATTAAATACTTGCTAAAGACTCCAGAAAACTTCACATTTGAAATCCCTTCAACTTTGAACCCAAACAAATAGAATATGTTGTGAAGTAAATACTCACCGCGCGATAGATACCCACAAACGGCCAACTGTAGCTGGTCGTGAATCTTCTTCATCAGAAAGTGTGTAGTTCTCGCCTAAAACACGGACGGTTTGACCAGCAAATAAGGTACCACACATAACACGTCCAAAAACATGAAAAGAGATAGCTTCTTGATCAGGATAAAGTTTGGTAGTATGAACCATTACATGTTCGTAATTCATGTTGCATTTTATCATGGCACGTCCGAGATCGTTATCTAGTGTGCCAGTATACGTTGATCCCACTTTAGTTGCGGCTGAGTTAACTGGACTTGGTATATGTTCTGCACACATATTCACAAATCCTAAAAAAACGAAATGAAATTTTGAAGGTACAGATCCAAAAATCATACACTGAACTTTTGATACTAAGTTCTAAACATATAGGCATTAATGATATCCCGTATAGGAAATATTCAATGACTTAAACTCTGCTATCTAACAATATGAAAGATTGACTGCTTAGAAGTAGTGAACAACGACCTAATATCTATCATGAGATAACGTGGATGGCTTTCCCTCGATTTTTACTGAGACATTCTTATCTTTTAGGTACCTGGGACTAATGCAAGGAATATTATACCTCATGTCATAGGGGAAATAAAATCCACAAGAAAAGGAAAGAAACATCGTAACATTGACTGGAATATGGAAACAAATCAAGAAACGCTTTCAGACAAAACAACTACGACGAGGATACTTCCAAACTTACCAGAGAAATCGCCAAAGAATCGTTTAAATATCAAACGCAAAAGTGGGCGTATATTCAGTTTCATTTCAGATTTCGTTAAATAGATACCCAACTCTGAACATAATGACGGTAAGCAAGTATCAACATCGCCAACAGTTTGAGCAAAAATCTTATACAAAGGTTCCAGAATAAAATCTACAAATGTTCGTTGTGAATTCGCAGAAGGTGGCCGTTTTTGAAATCTTCTTCTGTAATAGATTTAAAGTAAATTTGACAGTATTTCTTTTAAATCAGATGCAAAATCAAGTTATACTATGAGGCTGACAACCACAAAGCTAAAGTGATCCACTTGTTTATCAGTACAAATAGTTTTAGATGAAGGTTATAGGCATAAACCAGGCTCTCAATGGTTGCGTAACTTAGAACGGCTCGTAGTCTGAATAAAATTCAAAAATCTCCAAAATCCCTATGCTGATAATCTTCAGAAATTTGTCAAAAACGTGAGCAATAATGGCCATCGAGTCCAATATTTTTTGTGTATAACGGTGACAGTTAAAGCTTATAAAAATAATGAGGACGGCAAATTAATGATTAAAACACGGCTTTTAATTAGTAAGTCACAGATTCAAACTCTTATCACCTACATTGGTTTGAACAGCCGAGTGGTATCATTAATAATCACAAGCAGTGTGACCTATAGCTCAGTATATAAACTTGTAGCTAGAAAACGAGTCCTTTCATGAAAGCAATTAGTAATTTATCGAATAATGAGAATTTCAGATAGACAAGTACACTGAACATTATCATATCACTCAATCTATAAAGACAAATAATCAAAATAATAAGAGGGGTAAGAAACAATATATAGCACACTAAATCGAAACTGATATATACATAATTTTTATTGAAATAACTGCATAACAGATCTACTATGGTAGGATCACTTTGTATCATTGGTTTAGAAACAATTTCCTGCTGAGGTTTGGGCACCCGGGCAGTATCACAGCACTCACACATATTAAATGTGATCTGTGTGGCGCATATGTATTTGGTGCCTCCTTGTACCAATATATATATAAATTAGAAACAATTAAAAGATGGACAACACAAGTGAATCAGAATGTAATTATTTCGCACTTAAGAAATCTAGATCATTCAAACTAATGCTCACTGATAAAGAGATTGGCAACATAGAAGACTAACAAGAATTTCATACAGACCGTACCATAGTAAGTCCAGACTACTTACAAATAGTAACAGAAATTAAAAGATTAGTGCATATTTAAATGAAATATTAACAAATCTTACGTTTTAGAATTAAAATATATATCACCCCATAAACGTCCAGCGAATTCTTTGTGATCCATACCGTTAGAAAATGTATCCATATATATTCTCGCAAATGATTCCAAAGTAAAACAGAATCGGTAATAAGTACTTGCGAAGCATACATTTCCCAATAATGGGCTGACAACAGGTTGTGTATCATCTGTAATACCTGGAGACGTATGAGATAAAACTAAATTAACTGTTTCTAATATCAGTTTAGCTAGAAAAATATTCAATATCAGTAACATTGTCTGTTTCCTTACATCCCATCTGTTAATATAAGATTATCTTCGAGAAAATTCCAGTAGTTCAGTCGAATGTGCAGGGATGCAAGTTAGAAATGCCTGACTTTTCCATCATTTTTAGATATAACAAACTTTAGGAGGGAAAGACTAATTAGGAACACAATGGCTCCGAGAACATAACCAGATGAAGTAAACCCAAACAAGTAATTCCATGAGATAATAAAGCGGGCCATATATATATATATATATATATATATATATATATATATATATATATATATATATATATGGCGACTACGAAAGATTCAATATTTTCAACAGAATGAACATATTCGACTAATAATTTGGCAAAAAGATAAAACTGGATCATATCGAAATCGAATATAACACAGAATATAGCGAAGAAAAACGTGCAATCTTCCTAGAAAAATAAATTGATAGAAACTTACCTGCACCTTCAGAATAAGTCAGAAGAATTGAATTACTTCATCAATTATGTGCTTGATTTTGTAATAAGCATCCATTGGTGGCAATTTTAGTTCAATTATGAGACGATCTATTTTGTTGATGCACAGTGTTACCGGTAGTCGTTCTTGTAGAGCATGTTTAAGAATACGTTCGGTGTTTAAAAGTACACCTTCGCTGACGTCCACTAACAGACAGATTCCATCAGCGAGTCGAAAAGCAGCAGTTACTTCGTCGGAAAAATTGACGTGACCTAAATTACAAACACATTTTGAAAAACTGATCGATCAAATTAGGAGAAAATTTTAATGGGTCATTAAGTATATTTTCTGAATCAATGCTTTTATATGCATTCACAGTACTTAAAACAAATGGGTTAGAGCGGAAAAAACACTGTTTGACTGAATACAGTGATCCCAAAAAGGTAGAAATAGGGTTAATTCGACTTTGAAATGAAACGAGATACCTACAAGTGTAATGAACGAAGATTTAAGAGGGGGAAGACAGTTATATTATACAAAATTAGTGTTTGTAAAATATGAAAACAATTCACTAAATACCACCATTTTCACTGAATTGTTCTTTAAAAACTCCATCGTCCTTCCGTCCCTGTTGTTATTTTGATTGTTTTACATTTTCCTTTTTTTGTCAGTAAGAATTCTACGTCCAGTTCCTGATACTACTTATATCTGTTCATTTAAGTAACACATACCACACAAGGAATAACCAAGGACTGGTAGTTATACAGATGAATATTAAATCACGGTATATTACAGAAAGATACAAATAATCGAGTTGGTGCTTATTCATCCGGGGATTTTTGGATTATGAAAACATACTGAGTTACTGAGAAAATTTGGTAAAAGAATAATCTCTAAGATGAGCATATTGTTTATGAACCGAAGAAAACTCCAAGAACCTTAGATTTGTCTTCTGATGTTAAAATACCTTCATTGTATATTATCTAAGCCTAAGGAGTATCACCTGGGACCAGTTACTCACAAGAGATCCCGTTTTAGTCTTTCTGAATTCAAATACTTCCAACTCTGTGATACAACTCACATTACCTGGGACGAAAGTTTACTTGATTATGTTTTAGAAGCTGAAGATTGTTGTTCGTAGAGTATTGAATTCTCAATCTACATTGGTCCGGAGAGTCAGAGAGTACCACTAACCCGGAAAATAGGCAGTGCCAGCCACAACTTGGCATCTCTCTTCATAAATGTAAGTTGTTTTAAAAACTAAAATTGCTAACCTCATGGTTCTAGCCTTGTGGTTTTTCACGACTCTCTAAATTCTTCAAAATAAAAAAAGCATGAATGTTTAACTTCACCTGGAGCCTATCCAGGATTACTAACGCTCCCAAAACAGGGTGAAGGATGGTTAAAGTTGAGGTTGTTAACTAAAGCCCATTACAAAAACGCCGACCAGAGAAAAGAATTAAAATCAATTAAACTCAGCCCTGGGAGTTGAAGGACCTCCATTTGGTGATTATGGTTAGGCAGAGTAACCAGTCACAAGTAAGGAAGACAAACTAATACTAAAACTTAAGAGCAGCGGGACAGCCTCACTAAGCTCACTGGAAATCGAAACAGCACACGTAGACCTTCATACACATGATACCTCACTAAGAATAGAAATCAGCAAGGTTACCAAACAAATCAAGTGTGGGAGAGCAACGGGATCAGGTGCCATACCAGCTGAAGCTAAATACAGAATTAACTGCAAAGACGCATGCTCCTTACAGAAAGGTTTGGAAAGAACAAGTAAAAAAACTGGAAAGGACACCTCATCAAGATACCGATGAAAAGAGAGCTACAGAGAAACCATAATACTGTCAGGACCAGGCAGTTTTTAACAGGGCGTCGCTGAAGTAGGTGAAAGATACAGTACACATCTGACCTTGCATCAACAAGCTGGCTTTCATAAGGATAGATCATGTGTCAACAAAATCGCGATACAGTGGATGATTGATGAACAATCAATTAGATGGAACTCATCATTATACATAAATCTCCCTGATTATGAGAGAGTATTCGACGGTGTGGGTCGAAAAGGTTGTGGAATCTTCCTCAATATTATGGAGCACTCGGAAAAATCGTCACTACTATACGGAATTCCTAAGCAGGACTGAACTGCAAGGTCACGCATAGGGGGTAGCTCAAAGATGAATTTTAAATAAATGCTGATGTCAGACAGAATTACATATTTCCACCTTTACCCCTGTTGTTGACTGGATTATGAAGACTTCCATATCTCAGAAGTAAGAAATACATTGAACATTTTGGACGAAGTTGGACGATTAGGAATTTGCATTTGACCTATTTCTTTCTATTCTATACACAGTAAAAAAAAACAAATACTAACAGCATAGCAGTGGCCTCCATGGCAGTCGGCTTCAGTATTCCTAAAGGAAAAAGCAAGATCTCGAAAACACGACAGTGAGCACCAACCAAATCACTTGATGGAGGAGCTCTGGAAGAGGTGGAAACCTTTAAGTACTCGGGAGCATCATTGACAAAAACACGATCTGATGCAAGTACCGAGAAACAAATTGGCGAAGCAAGGGCAACATTTCTATAATTAAAGAATATCTGGAACTCAAAACAACTGTCACTCAAGACTAAAGTCAGAATTATACTGAGCTGGAACTTGAGTGATTGCCACCACCATCACTAAGAGAGTGTGGTGTGTGCCACTGATGTCACCAGATATAGGTAGTATGTATCATCAATCGAAAGTGAAATGCCTGGTGGCGAAAGTTTAAGAAGATCGAGGAGAACGAGAACAGAGAATGATTGCTGTGGAAACAAAGGAACAATCAAGTCTGAGACGATTGATTGACATTTTGCTAATCAAGTATTTACTGTATGGTTCTCAGATTTTACTAGGAGGTTCTGTACTTTTGTGTTCAAATACATTTAATTACCCTAATTGTGTTCTTATTCACTACAAGAGTATAAGTATTCATAAACAACTGTCTAAGCAAGATTCTACAGATCCATCGACCACAGACCAGAAGCAATAACCTGCTCTAAAAGAGAATAAACTGACTCTCAGTTGAGAAAAAGATGCTAGTGATGGATAAGACATACCGAGGAAATCGAGTGCATCCCAGAATAAGCTTTAACTTGGAGTCCTCAGGACAAAAGGAAAAGAGATGGAGAACTGGAAGTAGATATCAAGAGTATGAATAGCACCCGGGAACAACTGGAAAGGAGAGTCCAAGACAAAGTTGGTTGGAGATTCTTCGTTGAGGGATTGCGTTTTAATAGGGATAACAGGCCCAAGTGTAAACTACTAAGGCGATCACAAAAATACTTAAATTTTGTCAACAATGCTGAGATCCTTTCACAAACAATAATTGCTTGTTCATTTCTCTTAATTAGATTTTCCACATGACCTCTGCCTTTTAGGGCTAGTTGTTATTGGTTTCAGTTGGCTAAATTTATGTATGCTTAAAGGTCGTGTTTTGTTACTATATATGCAGGGTTGTACCAATTCGTTTTGTACTGCTTGTCCTACCTCGAATACCGAATCCCCTAAAATTCATTTTCTCCCTGTGTTAGACGTCAGGTGTTGAAGTGTTGTGTAAATTGCGGTCGTCTATTGTGAAGAGAACTGATCGTATTAGAGTAGCTCAACCACTGTCTCGAGATCTGTAATTGTTGTAGGTCCATTCTTAACCCTAACAAAGAGTCACAAGATAAACATTTAAATATAAACGTGTATATTTATCTACCTTCGTCATTCAAAGTAAACAAAGCCGCAAGTCGAAATACCAATTTTGAAAACTACGAATTGATTTACCCATCAATGAGCGGATAGTGTACAAGGACCTTTGTCAAAGAATCTTCAAGTTAACATTTTGAAGTGCTCCAGTAACCATCTAGCCTATATAAACAGTACACAACCCAACACATATCAGAGAAACAATACATTTGGAAAATCATTTTCCTAGTAAATGACCGAAATGAGTTATTCAAGAGAGACTGAAGACTTAGATGTACTGAAAAGATAGCTACGTTATCTAACTTCAAATTTACGAAGAACATTGGAAATAACACCTTTACTGGAACTCACAAACTGATTGAATGTTTATTGCTAGTTTAAAATTAAAGAAGTCGGAAATATCAGGAGTCATAGGCACATGAATAGAAGAAACCAAATACCAGATAAATATGACATGTTTAGTGAAAATAAGATATACGTAAACCAAATACATTCTGAATTCTGTTTCGTGTTTTCAGGATTCGTTAGTCGAAAACAGTTAACGATGTTTAGTTGAACAGAAGAATCGAGTAGTCAGCTTCACACAAACTCAGTGTTTCTATCAATAACACGGAACTAACGAATTTCGTCTCTGATGCATTATGCGGTGCAAATATAAACAAATTAATCTGTGAAATGTCTCAACCAACCTGGTGTATCAAATATGTTAAACAGATACGACTTTTCTTGCATGCTGCGCAGCACCAAGGAGACTGGAGTAGATTTTATACTCAGCCCTCTTTCTACCTCCATGTGCAAGAAATCAGTGTACCTGAGCTGTAAAGTACAATTAGAAATTTGTGTATAAAATATACCAAACGAAGAATAGATAAAATATTTTTATCAACAAGAACAAAATTAGTTAAACTGATTGTTAGGAATGCTGAATCATGAAATCATTATTGTTTCAAAGTCAATCAGTTTACAAAATAAGTCTTAGAATAAACCAAAATGAGGATGGATAAGAAAGAGAATAATTCGATCACATAAAATAGACCTGCTATCTCAACTTGTGATAAGCATCGCACTAACCATTTAGTATACAAAATAGCTAGATAGTTTCTTTTAACAGGGCAACACTTCGTCAATTGAGTAAATTTTGAGCCTAAGAAAAAAAGTGATTTATGTTGAAACATAGAGATGAAACTATACCAGCAGTATAAAGACAAAAAATAGGGAACATTCATCCGCTCATGTCATCAAACGAATATTCCTAAAACAAGAATTAAATTACATCCATTTCCATGGTCGAGGTCCATTGGGTACTCGGAAATGCATAACAAAACATTACTATAACGCTAAAGTGTAACAAGCAAACAATCGTTAGAACATGTAAATACAGGCTGAAACTATAAATACTGCTAGTGATTGTAAGTTTTTATTTTATTTGTCAGCCTCTTGTTTTGTTGTCTACTACAAATCTTTATTGAAACAATCAGTCAGCTACAAAGTAGGACCAGACACATATATGCGTCGGTTCAAGTTGCCATATCTCATCAGTACAACAAGATGAACACCAAATTCATAGAACCAGTTACTTCAGTAGTAGTAAAGAAAGATTCCGTATAAGGATATGATGCAGGAGAAATTAGTTTATAGAAAGTGAGGTATAAAGTAATTTCAATCTCACTTTTTAAGGGCAGACAGAGGTATATACACCTACGCCATTGTGATCGATTCTGAGCCATGTCACCCACAGTCTCCAACCATTGGTTACGATAGTTGCGCGGACCCCAACTAAGTAGTCCGCATCTACCAACATGGCTCAGACCAGAAGTTAATGACTTTATGGACTGATGCTATGTTTTGGTTTGATCGATCCTAACCTATCTGTCTCCAACACCAGTCAGCATTGCGCGCTGTAATAATCGGTGATCGGGCATGCGTAATACGTGGCCCAACCATCTCAGTCGGTGAAGATTTACAACCTCATCAATCGATTTACCATCATTCCCTAATACTCTGCGTCTAACCCCACTATTACTTACCCGGCGATCCCAGCAGATGCTGGCAATATTCCTAAGGCATTTGTGATCAAATGCTAGTAACTTGCAAGTGTCTTCTACTCTTAATGACCACGTTTCACAGCCATAAAGTAAAACAAAACGAACTGCTGAGCAGTATACTCGTGCCTTAATTGATAGACGGATATATCGCCTAAGCCATAGATGACGTAAGTTGGAAAAAGCCAAATGAACTTTTTGAATCTGTGCTGAGATTTATTCAGACACCAACCCATTGGGGCTGATTAGACTTCCAAGATAAACGAAGTTGTCGATGCGTTCGACTACTTCACTTCCTATCCTTAGTTCAGGTGTTGACGCGGACCAGTTCTGACGCAACAACTTGCACTTAGAGGGGGAGGAACGCATCCCAGACATGATAGCACTGTTGCTCAGTGCTACCAATACACTGCATTTTATCGGCGTCTTCATCAAACAGGACTATGTCATCTGCGTATTCTAAGTCGATAAGTGGACCTCCTGGAGGGAGACCAATGCCCGAAAATTCAGACGAAGAGAACGTTATTCCCAGCAGTAGGCCTATGAAGTTGAACAAGAATGGAAATAGGGGACAGTCTTGCCGGACACCTTGGGGTTGCAAAATCAGATGACGGTTCGCCGCAAGCTCCGACTATACTGGTACTGTTCAAGTAAAGAGCCTTTACGAGGTTTATGTACTTCTGAGGTACACCTTTCAATGACAGACACTGCCACAGAACCTCTCGGTCTACAGAGTCAAATGCTGCTTTTAAGTTGAGAAAAACTATCGTTGTCGGACGCCAATAAGCATGCATGTGTTCTAGAACCCGACGAAGGGTGAAGATGTGGTCGATGCAGCCACGATCAGGTTTGAAGGTGGCCTGATTTCCTCGTGTTTGCAGTTCACGAGTCTTTGCTAGGCGTCCGATAATCATTGAGGCTAGTATCTCAGACACTATATTACTTAAACTAGCCCTCTATAATTATCACAGGATGATTTTGACTCCTTCTTCTGTGTTGCGACCAGTCAGATGGGATTATGTCCAACTCCCAGATTTTACCTAAAGTATTAGTCAACCTAATCGCTTAAACTAGACCATCATCCTTAAAGATCTCTGAATCCAATCCTTCTTTCAGATTAACTATAGCTCTCTGAACTTCACTTAGACTCGGGGGACTTACTTCAATGTTCCATTCAGGCTGTTTAGAAATGGTGGGTAGTTGTAGAGTAGCTGAAGGCCGGTTGAACTGCTATTTAAAGTGTTCCGCCCATCATTCTAAACGTCTGGGTTGAGAGCAGATAAGAGTATCGTCTTTTTCCGAGATCGTCTCACACTTAACTTCTTAATTCCAGTTTCTTTTGTTAGTCTGAAAATCCATCTAGTGTTACCTACAGTCGCTACCTTTTCCATCTATTTTGCTTTCGTTGCCCACCACTGCTCACAGTCGTTAGAGAATAAACATTAATTATCAAATGAGAAATAAATAGTGGAATGAAGCTTAACAGAACTATGTTGCTAAACTGAACAATAGAGATAGTTTATGAAAATATGACTAGACTATCTACAGTGACGTATCAACACTATAACCAACTGCGTGAGAATGCCTCGTATTTGACTTGCATTACACATTACGAGTCACTAGGTACTGAAAAGACGACCATTAGCTTAGATTTACATTAAAAAAGATTATAGATGACTACAACAAAGTATGGTGGTAATCTAAGTTGATGAATGTAGGTCTTGTTTCATGTTCTTTTTATTATCTTGACAATTTTTCGTTTTATTGGGAACTGTGGCGACGGGTACAAATGTACTTTCATGAGGTGACATGTCAATTTGAGATTAGTCATCTCTTGTAAAGTCTGCACTTAGCTAGTTACTGGTAGTAGAAGGATTACACTGAATTTATTGATCAAAGACGATATATTTCTATTAAGTACTTACATTTTTGTCTTCTTTCGCTTCAATATCAGGATGAGTAAGTTCTATCAAACAGTCCATGAAGGAAGTCTGTAAAGTTCTAATTCAAGAAAAATTTCGGACATACTTTGCCATGATGCAAATGTCCACAAAGAACAACGTTGCGAATCAATTCCGGACAATCCATAAGATCAGCCAAGAATTCAGGGTCGTACGTTGTTGTTGGAATTGATGCTTCAGTGTAAGCAAACTTTTTGCGGCGAACTGGTTCTATTAATGGTTGTGTTAACGGCTGAGCATCTTCTTCCTGTACTAAGGTTTCAACTTCGGGACCATAGACTTCTAGTGCACTTGGATAATACTTTTTATCTTCATGAAGAATAACCTGAAACCAGAATTTGCACGAGATGTATAAACGTAGTTGCTGTGAGTTAAGATCCTAGAAAAAACTAATCTCAATTAGATGAGCTTACAGAATACAACAGGACGCTAAATACGAGTTATTCAATAGAAAAACAGATGGATATGCAAAACCTATATATCATTTGATTTCTGCTTGGGAGAACCCTATTATCTAGGATATCACTAATTTACAAGTACTACAATTCAATAAATATAGGGTTTGGGTGACACGACTGTTTATATACACTGACAAGTTGGAGGAAACAGTGAAGCGATACTATTAGCTGCACAAAGAAACATTGAATGAATATATTTAGTTAGTTGTTGAAGACTAAATACCGGCTGAACTGCTATTTAAAGTGTTCCGCCCATCATTCTAAACGTCTGGGTTGAGAGCAGATAAGAGTATCGTCTTTTTCCGAGATCGTCTCACACTTAACTTCTTAATTCCAGTTTCTTTTGTTAGTCTGAAAATCCATCTAGTGTTACCTACAGTCGCTACCTTTTCCATCTATTTTGCTTTCGTTGCCCACCACTGCTCACAGTCGTTAGAGAATAAACATTAATTATCAAATGAGAAATAAATAGTGGAATGAAGCTTAACAGAACTATGTTGCTAAACTGAACAATAGAGATGGTTTGTGAAAATATGACTATATATATATATATATATATATATATATATATATATATATATATATACATGGGAATACGTAGTATTTCACGAAGCATAGTTATAATCACAACTGGATTTTTATAACTTTAATGACCACATATGAACGATTCACCTAACAAAGTAGAGAACCAGAGGAAACTACCGGCACAAGTAAAATAATGATGTCGGACCACTTCAAGGTTTGAGGCATCTTATTTGAAAAACTAAGCGTACATCCCGCTGGATTGAAGCTTCTTTTGAATATGTTTCTCCGTAATTTGTGTGACATTTATCAGTGTCCGAAATGTTAACTGTATTTATACACAACGTCTGGTTGCACCCATTTATGCTCCATCGTTCTGACGAGCAGAATAGATCCATAATTTACTGACTAGTGTGTCGTAACATTTTAGAGCTTAACCTAACTTACAGCCAAACTTTCTTCTTGTACATCATTTGTTTCAAGGTGATTAACAGCATCCTGAGCCATATCTTCCTCCTCGGTACCTTCATCGTCAACACTATTTACATCGTCCTCCACCTCTTCGTCAGATAAAAGATCAGGCCCAATGTAATTCCCAAATTCATCATATAAATCTGTATCCATTTTTAGAATCAAAAAAGATAATGAAGTTGATGGTTGTGTCAACTGAAGTGCAGACTTCTAAAATACAGATAAAAGAGAACTAAAGTAATCAATCATGAAACCCAAAACAGCTGAAAAGAGCAAGAACATGAAGTTCAAGTCACAAAAACATTGAAACCTAGAAGTACCATTATCATAAAAAACCACCCGTACCCATCCGTAAACTACTGAATAACTATCCCAACCAGAGAGCCAAACCTATGAAGTACTAGTTCTACATTAAAATTACAGTTGCGAGTAATGGATGGAGTGGCAAGAAATGATTGGGCGGTAAGGGTTAATACCAAAAATAAAATCGAAAGACGTCTAGCAGTTCTGTTGATGAAATCCGCATTTCCATGCAGAAATTATATTTAGTATAAAGAATACCCAGTTGTTCTGTGACACAAAGTAAATGCATCCAGTACACCGAAAGCTAAATGACTATCATTCTGCAATAAACATGGGATTTGAAACACAGATATGTGTAACCACATTTCATATAAAGATGAGCTGGAACTAAAATAAGGATGATGATAATAATGACAAACGATGTGGTGAGCTGAATACAGGATATAGTTAGGGAAAAACATATTAGTTCGGCAAGTAAATATAAAGTATGTTTCGGATTTGGTGGGTAGCAGAATAAATATGTGCTGGTTATGTCCTTTTTAGCAGCTGAATTGGTCATACAACAGGGCAAAACAAAGTAACAAAGGATTTCTACTTTCTTGGTTTATTAAGTCAATATTATAACTGGATACAAGTGGATTGTTAATAATAATGGTACCCATTTTTATATACCGGTTTATGATATAAAGGGTTCAATAAGCTTGCCAAAACCGAGATAGGTGATAGAGGCCGTAAATATACAACTTATTAGATAAATTTCAAGTAGACCACCCACTAAACTACAGCTACTAAATAGTCGGACCCAAAGGTACCATTTACTAAGAATGACGTGACGGAAATGGAACGAGTTTCATGTCCCGTTGGTAACTTTTGACGGTTAGAGTTTTGCAAAATGGCATATGTGTAAATTTTACTGTAAAAGTTCTCTTTTTGTTTTGTACTGAGCTACTCAATCAGTTGGCTGGCGTTGGAGTACATCTCTCGATAACATGCGTATAAATTAACTTCCTACTAACCGCAACCGGGAAGGCATATATATATCCAACCAATAAGTTCGAATCAAATGTCACTTTTATTTAACTGTGTTGCTAATGCTGCAATTTTAAATGACTTTAGTAACGTCAAAGCTATATTAAAATACAGGACAATTGTATGAAAGACAAAATACATTTTCACATCACTGCTAAAATCTGAAGCGGTGGCAAAAACGCTGTAATAAAACTACTGAAGGCCATTAAATATCTCAGAAGCTAAGTATTAATTTCTTAAACATTTACAACCTATTAGCTAAGTTTCAATTGCCTCAGTTCATCCCAACTTAGGATCCAATCAGTTACAACTGTGAAACATTCTAGCCCTATAAGCTTCAATTAAAAGTCAACAACGACAAACACTAGGGCAACAAAATCTAGCTGACTCACCAAAAACACAAACAAGGGTAACGTATAACCCACAACCTCGCCAGAATTTAGTGCGCGGCAATACAAACAAATGGCTCAACAATGTCCAATAACTGAATTAAGGAAACTAGTCTGTTATTCATAATTATCACAGCAGCCCTTTAAGATTTATGTTTTTATAGCGTCGATAATCACATTCGCTGTTCAGTGCTTGTTTTTCTATTTAAATAATCGGGGTAATGTTTATTTACCCGTTATTATGTTTTTATCATGAAGCCAGATCTACATGCATACTTTGACTCATTGTTTTGTTATTTAAAGCCTTTTTGGAAATAGATAACCGCCGTTTATTTGTCTAAAAGTTGTAAGTCCATAATTACAGGCCGTAGATCTCTCAAGGAATGTCTAAACTTACACATACAACTTAAAACATTATATTGTTGACCTTTATTAACAAGATATAAGTAAGTTGGTACTGTGATGATAGAGAGCATAATAAAATTGAAGGCTTCAGTGGACAGGATGAAACAATCCTAGTTTGTATTTCACCCAAAGGTTACTGGACCCTTGGCAGTTACAAATTGGTGCTACTTTTTTGGCTCATCTTTACTGTTGTTGGTTCATCTTCATATATGCTTAAGCATTCAATCAGATACCCATATATTTTGCCACGTCTTTGTATATCACATGGATTAAATGTATCGACGCGTTGTGTCTTTTCTGGATTTAGATAGAAATTTCGGTGACAAATTCTCACGTGGCTTAAGTATTTTGGTGACTACTTCGTTTGAAGCACGTGTTATACTGAGATTTTCATTTTGTCTTGTATATCCGGTATGTTTTACCCAGAAATCTTACTGTTTACTGTTCATTTGACTACCGTGAGCTTACGTTTCCAAATATTTAATAAAAGTCCCCACCAGTTTATGATTTTTGTCTTATTTATACTGCTTTAAATACAAATACTCAATAGATAGCAATAAATAACAGTTAGGCTAATCAGATCACTGCCTACTGGTGCATAAAATCGTTTCACCAATTATTACAAAACTCTCCTACTTTTCATAGTAATCGTAAACAATCGGAATTATTTGCGAGAGATAGAACCTCAAAGGAACGTAAACATACAAACTGATCCTCCTTTTATACTGGTCACTCAAGTGGTATGAGTGATCCATACACTCTAGTACGACTTCACACCATTGTTTAGCATGCTCCTTATAAGCATAAATAAATTAAATTATAGTGATACTTGTAACCACAACCAGGCTAACTTATTTGCATCTAAGTGTTTTAACAATGTCCTCAAGACGCAAATAGACTCACTGGCTAGTTGATCAGAAGCAGTATGATCGTTCCCTAACAGCACATGTTTAATCAAAGTTGACGTAGATTGTTCCATTAATGGCAATCCTCACAACCTAGCGCAACATAAACTGATAGATAGTTTAATGTTTGTAAGCATAGAGTCCGAACCCAGTACCTTGGGCCCCAAAATACTGACGCATGACTCTGTAGATATTCTGTAGTTAGTCATGAGAAACAGGATAGCTTGACTTAGACGACCTTGGTTTGTTACACTGCAGCTATTTAGTCAACACACCAGAGAACCCTAACTCCATAATATTGAGTGAAACTGAGATAATCTGCCATGCATCTTCAGAAATACCTAACAAACTCCAATGCACGTAAAACACCCGATAGCAATCTAAAATCTGTAAAAACATACCATCCCAAAATTATATCCCTCCAAACAGCTGGTGATTTTGCGAGAGATTACTTAAGACAAACATATGAATGACCCCACTCTAAACATTCTCATTTCTCTGGAACTACCAAAACAGCTTACTTCATTTGTGTTCTTTCACAGTTTGGTCACATCCCAACATTCAAACGTGACCCCAAACTAACGTCGTGCTATTAAATCAGGTTTAAGGTCCTTACGAAGACCACGAAATGGTATCTCCGGCTCTAGGGGCAATCACGGCCCTAGTACGGACAACCGTAAAAGTCCATGTCTAGCCCAGAACTTGACTAACCGTATCAGAGTTATAGGAGATCTGAACAACTACCCCAATAATCAAACGTCATTTGTCTTTTGAGTCAATTTTAAGTGGACCTATCTGTTCCAACCTTCATTCCTCTGCTACTACGATTAACCATCGTAACAAAATTCCTGGAACATATTTGCCTCTCGATGATATCATACCAATCCATCACTATAGAAAGCCTATTAGAGATAACCTTAAGTGCCACAAGAAGCAGTTGGTCGCTACACACCATGCAAGCATATCTTAAAAAATAGGCTCAAACAATACCCTATATCTAATTAAAGCAATTGGCAACCCTGATTATCCAAAAATCAATAAACCCCACGAGACACTACCAAGCTTCTACGATGGTTACCTAGAAACATTTTCTGTGAGACCAATAATTTATGGACGACTTTTGAACGAATCTCAAGTGACCCTGAGAAATACTAACCAAACAGAAAAATGTTAGTACACATATTATACCATTATTACATATCAAAACAAAACCGAAGAATTAGAGTTGGTGCACTTCTTTTACATGGTTCAAGAACCTGTCAAGGTTAGAAAGGGGTCCAGAGGTCCTAAAATCGTAATGCACACGGTAGAGGAAATTATCTGTATGGCTTCATAATAGTCGGTTTCTGGAGCCAAGATAAGGTTGCAAAAATTATTTCAGCACCGACCACATATCTTTAATTTTGTTTGTGTGCACTCCGGTTGTTGGGTCAACAAAACGGCACTTGAGGATAACGATACGATGCACATAACAAGGTCTACGTAAGCATATGTACATTCTCCAATCATCCGTATATATATTAGAGTACCCGGCTGCATCCAGTGTTACTAGTGCTTTTACTTATCCAGTTCTCAATAATTTTCATAACTTGCATTTATCTCAATCTGGACCGAGCGAAAAAATTCCATTCTAGCAAATGTCTTCCTTCAACACATTGCATCGAAAGACAACATCATTACGTTAGTATACACAAGGTCCACAAGTCATTCGATCATCACGGAATAAAGGAACTTCTTAGTGGTTCTATTTGTCGTAGCCGCTAAATTATCAAATTTTCACTAAGATCCTCCGTAAACTGATCGTACGTGAGCGTTAGGTACTGAAACTGGCGCCATGACCTTGAAACCTCCCATACTTTTATGACTGGCTCGTCCATAAATTATGGTCTCGCCACATTTTTACCACTACCATCTTATTAATCAGTACAAGCCGGTGGTTGTATCTTCGAATCCACAAGAATAATATCCGCAAAAAATAATGTAAAACTTTTCAGTCCTGTCGATTGCCATTTCAGAACAGGTTTGTTCGCCGGTCCTCCTGATAGCAAGTCACCGGCCCTATACAACTAACTACTCGCCACTTCCAGCTTCGAAAAAACACCTTAAATTTCTGTAGACCTCTTCCGGGATGTTATTCTACCTCTAAATGTCAGAGACATTAATTCCACTCTTCTGGAGCCATCCACTACATAATTTGATGGTGTGGTTGGTAAGCCCTTGTAGAACTATGGTCTACTATGATATTAGTGCTGCTCTAATAATAGACCTAATCCTAAATTTGTAGATTTGTCATGATATAACTGCCTAATCTATAAGATCTTACGTGGAAGTCACACCATCGACTACACCAACTCACTGTATCGTATCAATTACCAATACATGATGTAGAACAAGGTTAGGCTAGAGAAGAACAATATATTTAATATGAATAGAAGATATAAGTAACATTTAGATGGACCACGCCTGCATGGCCGAGCCATGCCATCCGATCAACTCCAGTCCATTCAATTCATTGTTCGCGCCTTCTCCATTGTTAGGTATTTCTCCGCGTTAAATATTGAATATCTATTTTCTGAGTAGTCTCGTGTTCACAGCTTTGTGGATTGTGTGGCTATTGTCCAATGCCACTACACTACTCTCCCACCAGAATCAACGTGATGTTGGTTCGATACCAAATTGGATGGGATCGTCGCGCGCCGGAGGTTACCAAGGATAATAAGAATCCTCCGGGTATTGGTAAGCTGAAAGATAAATCAAAAAGAAAGCGGCAGCATCTGGTCGGGAAATACATGTAATAATTTTAAAATATCTGCCTTCATGCTTAAAACGCTTGAAATGAAAATTTGGGTGAAGATTATTTGAGCTATAAAAAATGGGGTTACAATAATAATAATAATAAAACGATGCGTGTTAATAACTTAACTTATAGGTAGTAAGTATTTTGTGTTTAGAAATATTAAAGTAATGAATATTGTAGAAATGTTAATATTGGTATTAGTTTTGGTTTAAATTATGAAATCAAATAACGATTATGCCGGTAAGTTGTCCATATGAGTTGAATTCCAATTGCATCTGTATTAGTAGGCTAACTGAAGGAACAAAAGTATACCGTGGAGAAGAATTCCAACTAGTGTTCCAGTTAGTTTGATACGGTTTATTTAGTTACGGGGAGATTTTCTCAACCTCATTTTTACTTGACCGTGATAGAATTTAGTAATACTACTAATACACATGAATGGTTATCAAAATAAAATTTAAATACGTGAGTGATAATTATATGAATTTTGGACAGATAGCTAGGAACAAATCGTTAAACATGAGTGTATTCGTAAGAGACATGCTCTAGACTCAATGTTCTGATCTGTGGCAGACTATTTATTTATATTTATACTTGCCGGCTGATTGGGCATACAAGTTAGTTGCAAGTATGCAGTTTATCATAAGGCGGAATACGATTTAATTGAGATATAGTGGTTATAAGTTATTAAAATCAGTTAGGCCTGTGTCATATTACGAAGTGATGTGGTGCTGCAAGATGTATTTAGCTAAATAAGTTTTTACAAGATGATTAATAGTGAGTGATGCTCATGTGATTATCAGGGAGAACATAAGTTGTAACCAGGGGAGTACACTCCCAACTCATGTCTATGATAATGGCTTGAACCTTAGTCAGTGTTGGGGTAAATTCGACATTGATGTTTTCAGTTTGCAGGAGATTTGCTCGACTGCTTATACTGATTATTTGCATGCATGATTGTGTCGCTAAACCATCAATTAGACTGACAAGGTTTTGAGATATTTACTGAATGAGCAACTGATAGAGAAACATACTGTAATCATCTGTGATGGATGAAGATAAAGAAAACAACACTAATGGTAATTATAAGTCAATTTGTTGACCGATTTCGTTAATAGTTTCATTAATTTTATCAGTCATATTACGTGATTGTCAAGTCATGACAATGCTTTATGACGA